GTGTTTAAGCGCATTATCTTCAATTATTTTAACTTGATGCTAGAAACTAAAATAAGTTGAATAACTGATTAATCAAACAATTTTGGGTTCTAGCAGCTTGATATCTCAGTTTTGGATTTATCTCAAATTTAGAATTGCTATCTAGCACCTTTTGATGTAACCAAGGCTTCAGAATTCAACAATATAAGGTCCTATGGATGTCTACAACTGTGGTTTCTACAATAAATCCACTTCAAACATAGAATTCACCAATCAATCAGCTCAAAATTCAAAACTTTCCACAAAAATTAACGCTAACAAAATTCACAGCTTAAGGGACATTCCATTTCTAACAAAAGAGTTCCATTGATGACGAGAGGGTGAATTGTCGAGCAAATTACATTATTTTATTTAGTCTGTCTCAATTTTTGGTTTTCAGCTTAAGTTATGTTTTCATCAAAGGATAATATTGACATAATATTGAGGGTGCCAAAAAATTGAATGACGTAATGGAACAATGAATAGGCCTTTAATGGATCTCTTGAGAATGAATTTACGAGTCAAATGCAGAGAAGGATTTCACTACTATTGATGCTGTTGCTGTATTTACTCGCATGAAAATTGTTTCATGATGGGTTCTGAACAAGACAACATTATTATTTGAAGAAGCACAAAAATCCACTTTACAATTTGTTTACTTTCATTAATCGATATTTATTCTGCTTCCTTTCCCTATTCCATAATTATTCTTTCACTTACACTTCACTTGCCTGTTTGTTGCTTCTTATTCTAATATTTGTCTGATATTATATTATTTTCATTAAATAGATAAAAGTGTAAGATAGGCTGAGATTGAGGAATGAATGACAATAGAAAGGAACTAAGTGACATTAAGATGATGACGATGATGATGCGATTTTTATCATTCTGGAGATTTTTATTGAAGATTTTTTATTTATTTCGTGTTAATGAAAGTCATTTGTCATTAATGAGTCAGGCACTTCACGTGCAGGGTTCAGTAGAAATTGGATGAGAGGGAAATAAATTTTGATTTAGATATTTTAATTATTATTAAATGCAGGAATTGATGTTGAAGAAATAGGGTGTTAAAATTTGAAATCAGTGCGATGTAATCAAGAAGTAACACGAGCTTGACGTGTGTTTAAATAAGCAGCAACTTTAGAATTAACAGAGATTCGGGAGTTTTATGATAAAATTAATACAGATTCTACTTGAGTATCGAATACAGTTCTAGATAACTGAACCTAACCCTAGCTCAACACTAGCAGGTTTACCTTAAATATTAAACATCAGCCCTGCATCTACATCACATAATCAAGTAAAAATAATCATAAAAAATTGTAATTAAATTTTTTCATTTTCATTGAATTGCCATCATATCTTCCAGCTCCTTCAATTTCAGTACTTAAGGCTGCATAGAGGAAATGAGAAAAGCAATAAAAGTTGATAATTCAGAAAGAAGCGAAGGCGAAAATTTGTTTAAAAAGGAAACGCAATGTTCTGTAAATCATTTTTTTATTTGCTTAATTTTTTTTCACTCCTCGTTCGCTTTCTTTTTTTGCGATTCTGAAGGGCATAAAAATCGAGAAGAGAAATGCTTGACAAGAGTCGAAGAAATTTAAATCAATTTTCTTTTTCCCTTTTTTTCTGTTCTTAAATTTTCTTTTTCATTTGCTGCTGAGAAGATAAGCAAAAATAGATATAGTCGATGAGAGAAATTGGGGGGGGGGGGGGGGGGTTGTTGACTCATCGTGTCTTTCGGATATGGAGGAAAGGATTGGGGTTCAAATCTCTAACGTACTCGTTTAAAATTGACATCTACTGGCTAGGAACGAGGGTTATGTTCATTATTCTTTTACAATTTTTGGCAAAAAAAAGTTTACCAAATCTGAAAACCTAAAGGTAGTCTTCTGAATCCTCTAAACGATAAAATACAACATATCACAAAAACTCATTTCTATATAGTCTTAACTTACAAACGACCCCATTCATAGCTACACCAAGAATAATGCGAAAAAGATATAAAACGAAATTAAAAACTGTGAAAATCAGAAATTGTGAAAATTGCAAGAAGAGAAAATTAGGTTACGATAGCAACTCGAGGCATGAAAAAAAAAATCCAACACCTCATTTGACGAAAATTATTATTTTTTCATATAATTTTGCCGAGGGTGATGCAGATGAAGAAAATTTCATGCTGTATTTGTTTCAATAAAGTCATCAACAACACAGAAAAATCTACTCCTGTTGAAAAAATATTTTTCCGTCATCATCATTAAGCAATTGCTAGTTTAACCGTGAAACGAGCAGGAAAATTTTTCAAAACATATCATTTTCTCCTGCTCATTTTAATGCTTTCTGCAAGTCGGAAATACTTTCGAGCAATGAGCAGAAAAAAATATGAGTGCAAACAATTCTTGTTAAACATGAGAATGCGAGGCTGGAGAGAGAAAGAGAAAAAAAGGCAAGGAAACTTCCGACAACATTGTTTTCTTTTGAACTTTTTTATTTGACTTTAATGACGGGAGTCGAGTCTTTAATAAACATTTTCATCGACATACTTTAATTTTTTATTGGAGGGGTTTAATGAAGAAAGCTTGCGACATGTTGTCGATATAAACATTTTAAATTGTTTTAATTGCCTCAGAAAATTCCTAAACAATTTAGGAAACGATTGTGTGTGTATATATGGCATGTGTTTGCTTATGTAAGATTTAATTTTGTTGTTGTTACATGGCAGACTTTAAAGGACGTACGGAAATTTAATTTTACGAAAGAATTTTCACCCATTAAAATTTTATGTATAGAAATTTTTTGTTCATTTATGTTGCTTTTAATGATTACACAATGGATTTGTTTGGATGAAGAATTTGTGTCAAAAATGCTTGATATTGAGAAGAAAATGTTATGAAATTTTGGGATTAAAGCTGTTTGTGAATGATTGGAAATTTATTAAAAATAAGTTTAAGAATCTCAATTTTGGAGAGGTGTGTGGGTGTGTGTGACGCGAGAGGGGGGGGGGGGGGGTTGTGCAGTATGATCATTTTATGATTTTTAACAATTTTCAAAACCTAAAATTATCTAAAAATGACTATGCTCGCAATGCGATTCGATGAGAATCGAACTTCCGACCTCAAAAGTTGCGATCTTCGACCACTCGATCAGAGTTCCTTGTCACTCGCCTACCAAGGTATTTATCTCACTTCGGCTATCCGTCATACACATATAACCAGTTTCACAGTAAGCCCTATGCTCAGGCCTTATCTTGAGCCATATCAACAGCAATACTTAAATATTTATTAACCTATAATTAAACCTACCCCAGCACAAGACATCCAGACCATTTGCTTTCATTTTTATCCATAAAATCTATAAATTATTCACACTCCCTAAATGAAATAAAAATCTCCAAAAAATCTCACATATTGCGCATAAATAATCCAGATTTTTAGAATGAACAGTAAATCTCGTGATACTATAATTCCCCGTCTTAAGGCCTTTATTGATTATTTTCGAACGACAGATGAAATATAATTTTTTTTGAAACATTCTCAAGAATTTAACTACGACTGGGATATGTCATTCAGCAAATCCTTACGATTGGAAAATTTCTTTACATCCTAAATGTAAATCAAATGTATGTTAATGCAAGAAAATCCATAAATACATCCATTATTTGTGTCATCATCTCTTCCTCCTTTTACGATATTTATTTATACACAAATTTCAATGCCGAGAAAGGAAGAAAGAAAATAAATAAGAAATGAGTTAGAGTCAGAACAGACGACGAAGATATACAAGAAGAAGAGAATAAAGTTTCAAAGAACGTGATGACGATTTTAAACATCCAAATGTCTGCACATGCACATTAAAATTTTGGGGGAGTGGGAAATAGAAAGACTTAGAAAACTCAATGAAAATTCATCATGTGGAAGGATTATTATGTGATCGAGGAGTAGGAACTGTTGAGAATGTTTGTTTTTTGGATGATATGAATATTTTGATGATGTGGTTCTTTGGGTGTGATTTTAAATAATTCTGAACGATATCTTTGCATTATTTGCATTGTTGGAGCTGTTAGATAAGTACCTTCGGTATGATGTAGTGTTGTTGATTGTGTCTTTGACTAGGTGTCACCTAGACTTAAGCGTACTTGAGCTTTGAAGTCGACTGGACTTGAAACTGACTTTTTCTATGTTTAGACATGACTAAGTGTATGTAAAGCCTAGGTCAGTGTTGTTCAAACTTTTTGAGCCTGAGCACACTTTAAAGGTAAGCCATGATCAAAGTCGCACACAAATGCAACTCGCGTCACTTCCAAAAAAAAATCTACGGTATACCAGTGTGCCGCGGCACACAGTTTAGACAACACTGGCCTAGGCAAATACTTTACTAATACCTTAAAATCTTTTAAGACTGCTTCTCCTGAAAAATCCATTAACACTTCCAAAAGCATGACCAATCCTCAACTCAAGCTCTTAACTCAGCTTCCAATCCCTTCTGTAACAATGTGTCACATAAAAAATCCTTCCTTGCTTGTTGAAAACAATTCATTATGAAAATTATTCAATATTCATACGAGAAGAATTAAAAAGAAAACTTTTGTGTTGAATGAGTGAGTATGTTAGGGACACATAAAGATTGTTGAATAAATGAAATGTATGATGATCCACTTATGGCACATTACGACATGAAAATATTAATGGATTTTAGTACTCAATTATCACATTTTCAACAATATTTGCATATCTCAATGAAAATCTCATTCTACAGAACCATAAAAACAATTCAACATAACGATGGTGGGCCGTGCGTGTGACTGAAAATAAATTTAACGCATTAGATGAGAATGGATAGGAAAGGGACATTTCAATTAAGGTATAAACACAAGCACAGGATTAAATAATTAATTTTATGTATGCATAAATTTACTTGAAAATTGTAAAATAATGCTTAAATTTATGTGTGCGGGGGTTGAATTTATAATGTTACAGTAGATTGGGTGACACTGTCACTATAACGATTTATGATTGTACTTTTAAAAGATTCAGAACCTTACAGCATTAAATGCTTTCAAAAATGAACGCAAAATACACGGACTTGTGTAAACGACCGGAGCCAACTTCACGTTGCTTCTCTCCCATTTGTTTATGTTCGATCAGAGATAATGGAAGTGTAAATTAGTTTTCTGTGAAAATTTCCCTAATTTTCCGGGTTAATCAATAATATTATCAATATAAAGTGATGCTAATTTAATCATCAAAAGTGAAAAAATACATCAACTATATTTAATATAATTAAAATCTCATAAACAGTGCGAGAGTTCAATTAATCTAGAATAAAAAAAAAGTTCTTGAATGGAAACGGAAGAAGAAATTTTTTTCTTATGAGAACTGAAAAGTGATCGATCAAAAAAAAAGTCTTATCAGTTTTTAAGACAAGAAATAAAAAAATAATATATTAAAGATAAAATATGATTTATCGGTTGTGCTTCGAACGCCAATAGATAAGACGACATAAACAGTGTCTCAAAGGAAATAAGAATTTTTTGTTACAATAAGCAAATAACATAAAAAAATAATAAACAATGTCGCATTTATTTAACGCCGCTATCATATTCGGATTATATTTATTTGTCTCGACAACACAAGCCACTTACAACTTGTATCTGAATGAATATGAAACCATGAGATTGCTAGGTGAGTTAATTGTAATTAAATTTTATGACGGAAACATGAGACAGCCAGAAAGCCACAAACAATATTTTTTTTCTTCATTTCTCTCTTTTACCTTAACTGGATTTTGTTTATGCCTTTTTTTAAAAAAAAAGTTTTATGTATATTGTTTGTGTACGGCAGATAGGAAGACAGTGAAACACAACAAGTTAATTAAATATTCATGAAATATTGCGTTATCGTTGGCTGTAACATGAACCTCGTTATCTCTTTAAGCATTTATGTTGGAAGGCATTTGAATAAGCCTTAACAATTTCCTTAACACTTATTACTGCTGCTGCTGCTGCTTTTTTTGATAATGAATTTCGGACATGTTTGTATTTTCTGATGGTGGATGTCAGGTTTTTTTGGTGTACATGGATTTAGTATTTTTGGTTGGATTATGCAGATTGTTGTGGTTGGGATTAGATGTCAATCTGATGGTGGTTTAGTAAGAGTGTTACTGCTGTTTGATGTGGTTACATTGGTATTATAATTATGAGACTATAGCAAAGAGTGTTGTGAATTTATTTTGTTCCTCCAACAATTACTTTCTTGATAAGCACTTCATTGCTATTTCCTAGTCGATACAAGTATACTCCATGCTTGGTTACTATGAAGACTATACTTCAATTTTTACTCATCTACCCAATATTTTAAAGTTGGTCTTAAATTCAAAGGATTTGAACCAAAGACATGAATTGAAATTCGACTTTACGAATTGAAGTTAGATTCGAACCCACGCTTTGCTGGATTCTCAAACAACTAAGTTCTCAGGATCTACAAAAAGCCAGCTAAAATTTCAACCAATATAAAATTAAACTCAAGTTCAAAACTCAACCTCAAGTCTTTCTTCACTTTCTCCAAAACAAAATTAATATTCCCAATGCAATACATACAGATACATCCGATTATGTCATGTGTCAAGATGAGGATAGAAACCATAATATTTAGAATCTCTCAATATCTTTTTTGGTAAACAATGCCTGAGCTGAGAAAAGGAAGAAGTAAAAGGAAATTTTAAAACTTTTTGTTTAACTTCTTCCTAATGAAATCCACATTATCATTCGTAGCACCCAACAACATTCGACTAACGAGCGACCCAGGCATTGTTTACTCAATAAGAAAAGTTTTTCGTACGTTTCCAATCAGGAAGGAAGCTTCAAGGACTTATAGAGAAGTAAAAGACATTCAATCAAGGAGAAGTCAGTCAGTTAACTGTGCGAGAATATAAGTTGGAAATAAAGTAATTTAATTTTTTAATAAACTCATCTTGCTTCTTTTTCTCAGTTCTTCGAATGCAGATCCTTCCTAAATCGTTTTATAACCAAAGAGAAAACAAACAATTGAGCCTTTTTTGGCTTTTCATTTCTTAAGGCCAAAATATTTATGCTTGAGCATATTAAAGAGAAGAAATAAGAAATTGTTGTTGATGTTTAAGGATTCAAAAGATGTTCCAGAACGAATCATAAATCAATGTCATTGAAATTTTTTTCTCTTCTTTTCCTTTTCCTTCTTATTCTTCGTCTATTTCTCTTCCAAAAAAAGATTCTATTCGCTTACCTGCCTCAATGACAGATTAGGGATTTTATTTTCTTCTTAGTGTCCACGACTGTTCAGAATTTTTAATAGATTTGAAAAGAGTAGCAAAAAATGGAAAGTCATAAACATTACACAAACACACGTGAATTAACTCACAAGGAATAATGGACAGTAAAGAAGACTGCAAGTTAATAGCTTAAAAGCGCATAAAAGACTATGGATAAGACATGGATTGGGAGCTGTTCATAAATGATGTAATTAATGAAGAACGTAACTTATGAACTTGACCGATGAATTGAGTAGATCAACCGACAATGATTTCACAGGCAAGCTATCAGATCGATTAAAATCAAGCCAGAGGGACAAACTTCAACCATAATGACTGCATCTCCTTAAAAATTTACCCAAGAAAAACTTCTTTAAATTTCACAGTACGAAAAAAAAAGAATCTTTTATAGGTCAGAACACAGAAAACAGAAAAGGTAATTTAATGGACACTCGTAAATGTCTCGACAGAGAATGCTCATTGAATAAAAATCAATTCATTGCGTGTGTAAAAAGAGTAATTGTGTAATGGCAGGAAGAATTTAGGGATCTAATACACAATTTATTAATTAAAGTGAGAATATAGTTCGACAGTCAGAGAATGAATTGCTTCCGGTTTCTGTGCTGCAATTGAAATAATTTCTCTTTTATTTTCTATATGAAGTAGATTTGGCTGTGTGGCAGAGATGTTGGATGATTTTTATCGAGATTTTCTCAGTTGGATAAAAGAATGTGTTTATATTTGAGAATGAAAAGAACTGCAGTGCTCTTGCTGATTGAGCAGATTGTATGTTTTTTTGGAAATACATGTGTAGATACTTGTGTAGTCGTTATTGTAAAATCTGTTTCATTCAGTCTAGAAATTCATGAATTGAGAATCTTCTTATTTTGTCTATTCTAATATGGAGCAATGTGCTGTGAGATTTTCAAGATTGCCTGCTAGCTGAATGTATTAAGTTTGAACAGTACTAAGGAGTTGGTGTCACTAGTTTGGTTTACTAAGAGACACAGAAAACCTTAGAGAGTTGATGTCGTGAGTAAAGTCAATTTTGTTCAAAAACCAAGTTCCCATAACCCTTCTCACATTCAGTCACGCTTCCTACATCTACAAAAAAGTGTTAATATCCACACATCTGTGAATTCATGTCTTTTGTTTGATAGACGGGATTATCTGTTCAAGTTGTTCCTTTTTGAACACAATTTTGTTCATATTTTGTCATTCTTTAAATCAAACTTGTTCTCTGTCTATCAGGGATTATCTAATATGTTACAAAATTCTCATAAAAAATCCTTTGAATGACAAGTCAAGTAAATAAATAAATTCATCTATTTTAAACAACCTGCTACATTTCCATGTCTAACCATAAATATTCTAAATAATGAAATCAATACCCCCCTCATGACACCATAATAATCCTACATAGTTACACAATTTTTTCATATACGCATGTTTCAATAATATGTAATTTAATATGCATGATCTAATTCCAACTCTGAAGTCCTCCATATATTTTTTGTAGAACACAAACAAATTTCCCAAATAAATGTTTAATGTAAACATTACAGTAATCACTTTCTCAAGATGATACTTCCCTCGTGGACAATTAATATCAGTTTCATTCATGCTTACTCATTTCTCGTAACATTTTCCAACTTGATTGTTTATGGCTGCAAACAGACAGACGAAAAGGAATGTACGCCAATGCGGAATGTACTCTGAATAGAATAATATGAGTCTAGAATATGAGTAGGAGCTGGAGAGACTGGCTTTGACTGTGGAGAATAAGAAGAATAGGATTATTTCTTGTGTGACGTCCAAAGGGGTTATGGCAGGGGAACCAGAGGCTACCTTAAACATCTAGTTATGTAAGGCTGGTTTCTAGGGGTACCAGAGGTACTTTATATAGATTTTTAATTCAAGAGAACTCCAAATAGTGCTCAAATATAGGAAAGAAGACGAAAATCACTAGACATCACTTACGAACGACCCCATTTAATAGAAATAATATTTTCATATTATGAGAAAAAAAAATACAAATAAATAGAGTTGGAGATTCTTTTCATCCGTTGAATGACGGAAAATATAAGAACTGTTTTTGTTGATGCTTGAAATTGTGTGGAACGAATGATGATGTCTTTTTCAATTATCCGTCATTTCAGTTTCAATTTTTAACCCTCTTGAGAAATAGCTTTTCATTCACTTTAGTCGAGAGCGTTGATGAAGAAATAAGAAGAAAAAAATAAATACACACAGAATGAGTAAGAGAGAAGAAAATAAGAATGAAGTAAAGCTGGTTTATGGCACTACTTGAAAGACATTTTAATAGATGCCATAATCGGTTTTGTGTCAGTGATTCAAATGAAAAAAAAAAAATATTGTGAGAAAATTTTTCCCAACTTGCATCACTTGAGTGTGAGGGCATGATCGTTTCATGATATGGAAAAAATTTATATTTTTATATTTTTCTGTGTCCATTAAAATATTAATTAAAGAACATAAGTGCCGAAACAAATATCTCTATTAAATAACGCTTCATTTTTCTCCCTTTTGTTGGTGCATTTTTTTCTGATGCTCATTTTTTGACAAGCTGTCTGTCTAGCGCTTAGTTGTGATGAATATTTTGATTTCTATTATAAAATGACATCAATCAGTCATTAAATTGTCATAAGTGAGGGCGATGAGTGTTGAATTAATGCGACACGGAAAACTTTCTAGATGATTTTTTTGGCATGCTGGTCAAATATAGAACTTCTGTAAGACTAGGTTCTGCATAAATTCTTGACTAGTATTATGCAAGCTACGAATTTAGGAGAAAACAGACTTAAGAATCGGATCATTGACCACTGGGACTCGAACTAGAGTTTCACAATACAAATTAGTAAGTGTCAAATTGACTAGGATGCCAGTTTAATCCTAGTCAATTTGATTTTTAATTGCTTATTTCAATAATTGCAAAGTGCGATTTATATATAGCATGGGTGTTCTAGCCTAGTCTAGACCAAGATTACCATTCCAATCTACAAAGTTTCCCAACCAATTTTACATTGAGGAACTCAAAAAGCATTCAAACAGCTCACTTATCCCAATCATAATTTAATTACATCTCTTTTTTTCTCCAAACCAGAGTTGATATCTTGCCTTTGACTTTGAAAAAGGCAAATCTTTCAAAGGCAATGCAAAGGCAAGGTTTTAAAAAAAATCTTTTGTCAAAGGCACTTGAAAGGCAAAGGCAAGTTTTAAGGCAAAGGCAATTTTTTTTGCCTTTTCAAAGATTTGCCTTTGCCTTTAAACTTGCCTTTGCCTTTTTTGTGCCTTTGCAAAAGGCAAAATCTTCCAAGGTCAAAGGCAATTTGCTGGGTGAGAGCTCGATTCAGAAGAAAGAAAATTGTTTGAAAAC